TCTATATGGAAGTTGTGTAACACCAACAACTTTCCAATTCGAGCAGAGTATTTCAGAAAGAAACTGTGAGACAAATCAATAACTGTACCTGGCCAGACGTGAGACTCGAACTTAGGATCTCTCGATCTACAGCCGTACACGTTAGCTAATAGGGCATTTTCTTACTAAATAAAACTAATATCGACTGACGAACAGAGAAGGTACAGACAAACCACTGAAGATGAGCTGGAATTTAGTACAAGAATTTCTTTTATAACGATGGCTAGCACTAAAAAAGTATGTTTGAAAATTAATCCTCTAAACGTTTCAAATAGAGTGTGGAATTTTAAATTAAATTTCAATATTTTTTTTTATTTTAATTACAAATAAAGATAATTCATTTTAGACGCTTATTTAAATATTGCTGAAAAGAAAAACTATTTTGTACGCTGTTTAGAAAATAAAATAACTTGTTTTAGTTGTATTTTAGTCAACCTTAAATAAAAATATAATTTTCACGCTTTCAAATAACTCGCTTTGTTTGCATCCAGTAGATTTAAAGGCATGACAATGTTTTTTCAGTAGTAATACATTTCATACGAACCGTAGTCCTGGTCTGATTGTGGAACCAGATGGTGACCTCAGAAGCTCATTAATATTAAATTACTTTTTGTATTTATCATACTTAAAAATATTATTGTGAATGTTTATGAATAGGGAAACGAGTGGGCGTTTGTCTTTTTTACGATTTGAGTTTTTTTTAAATAAAACTATCTTTTCGGATTATTTTGAATTTTGGTTCCTGGCGTTTCGAATGCTTTGCAGCAATCATGGTCACGGGAGAGACTAAGGTTTTAGACGTCTCATACTTGCTATGGACAGCATCTATCCACGAAATAATCTGAAAAAATAGTTTTATCTACAATGTCAAATATCGCATAAATCTAAGAAAGAATTATAGATATATAAGAAATTTAAAATGGCGATAGTTTATACGAGTATCTCGGATTAATCACGTGAGCAAAGCTGCGAGCTTAGATAAGTTCTAAAACATAATTCAATATATACATATATAACTTATTATAATTTTATTAGGTAGGTACATTTACTAAGGTATTCACGCTATGTTATAAACACACGTCTGTTTTAAATTTTTTATTAGTACTCTGATACTCTCTAAACATTCCGCCGTAAAGAAGCTATTTCGCAAACATAGAAATCACATTACACCGGTGAAAAATTCTGATATTTTAGCAAAATGAAAACGTGGATCATAAAGTGGGCTACGAGGTGGGTTCGAAGCAGTAAAATTACGTTATTATGAGCTACAGGTGCTTTACATTCATAAATTGTTATTTTGCGAAGAAAATTGTTTGAAAAAACCGAATGCTCCAATTTATTTGGTTTGAAAAGAAACAGATTTTATTTGATTAATGACGAAAATAAAAGGTACAATGAAAGTTTGATATATTTTGGTTCATTGTAAAATATGCATGTCAGTGTAGATCCTGTTTATTACTTGTAGAATATTGTTACTTGTCTTCAAAGCGACTTTTGGTCGACTTATACCATGTAAGTCATTATCCAAGCTATTAACTTGTACGAGTACGCGTATTTAAATACAATATTCTCTGTTCAAATCAGTGTTTTTTTTTTAAATAATTACCAATGTTACAATGACGTGTTTTATTTGCGTTTAATGTCAGGGGTTCGATTCCTTTCTGAATAAATATATCTATCCGATATAACAGAATTGTCGTATTCTTTTATTCTGGCAAAGATAAAACGTTATCGATCATCTGTTTCCAATACATTGTTTCAATATAAAACAAGAGTGTGATATCTGACAAAGCTTTTTTATCTTCAACATAAAGTAGAATGTGTTTGAAGATAAAAAAATACTAGAAATAGTGCGTCGTAAATTCGTCAAAATTGTGTCAACCATACTTGTCATACGAGTATATGACTGACATAATTTAACGAAAGAAATGACTATCCATACTTAATATTATAAATGTGAAAGTGTGTTTGTTTGTTTGTTTGTTTGTCTGTCCTTCTTTCACGTCGAAACGGAGTGGCAGATTTGCGTTATTTTTTGTGTGGAGATAGTTGGAGGGCTGGAGAGTGACATAGGCTACTTTGTACCGCGGGAAATTATCTAATTCCTACCGGAAAACACGTTATAATATAATCCAAAAAAATATTTATGATCAGAATTACTTGAAATTTAGTATTAATGCTCTTCAATACAATTAAATAAATACGTGTTTTAGCATTTTTCGATATTCATCAAATAAGGTGGTAAAATAGGGGATGAAAGTCTGTATGAATCCTATCTCTTTAGAGTTTTTGTTGTAGTTTAGCACGAGCAATGCCGCGGGTTCTCCTAGTATCTATATAAATAAAAACGGATCACCGAAATGTATGTACGCGCATGATTTTGGATCGACTGCACTAAATTGAATAAGTCTTTTTTTTGTGTTTGTTATTGTCAAGAAGTTTTGCATAGAAGAAAATTAAAAGAAAAAAAATTTTACTAAATAAGCTTTTTTAAATTTTATGATATGAAAAGTGAGTGAGAGAAATAGTTTTAATCCCGGAAATCATCCCTTATGGGGTAAGGATGGGGATGAAAGTTTGTATGGGGAAGCAAGCAAAATATATCAAGGAATTTGAATATTTTTTTAGAAATTATTATATTTGAAACTTTTTATCTATTGTATCTAGGCATCTGGTTATTCAATGCATAGAGCATCAACGTAACCCGCATTGAGATAATTTAAAAATAGAAATAAATTTATTCATACATTTTAAATTCAAATTCAAAATTTGTTACAATACTGAGTTACAATGTTTTGAATTGCAGTCGATTCATGTCACTGGTTACATTGTAAAACTATATACTCGTACTATTGTATATCCATACTAATATTAGAAATGTTTAAGTGTGTTTGTTTGTTTGTTTGTTTGTTTGTTTGTTTGTTTGTTTGTTTGTTTGTTTGTTTGTCTGTCTGTCTTTTTCACATCGAAACGGAGTGATGCACTGGCCTGAATTTTTGTGTGGAGATTGTAAGAGGGCTGGATGATTATCATTCCCACGGGTTAACACTTTATTATACAATCCAAAAAAATATTCATGATCAGAATTACTTGAAACTTAGTATTTATGCTCTTCAACATAATTAAATAAATAAGTGTTTTAGCATTTTTCGAAATTCATCCCTTAAGGGGGTAAAATAGACGATGAAAGTTTGTATGAAACCTACCTACCTAGAGTGTTATTTGTAGTTTTGGCGCGAGCGAAGCCGAGGGTTCTGCTAGTATATATTAAATACAAGACAACTCGATGTATTTATTATATGAGGCACTAACAATAGCTTTGGACTTACTACACTTGAGTCTTACATATATAAAACGTATTTTACCCTACTGCGCCAGAAGGAGGGTTATGTTTTACGAGTGTATGTACATATATATCGGAGACATATTATACACACGCAGCTATACATAGTATACATACGTTTGTCTCCGACTGCATAATACCTCGTCACCTTATTTTCATCTTTTTAGTTTGCTTTTTACATAATTGGGTTTTTCAATTTTGTAAATAATTTACTTCGCTTTCAAATACGAATAAAAGCTTTTACAAATAAAAAATTAAAAATAAAAAGCGATAAAAAAACTAGCAAACGTTTCTAAGCCTTTCTATTGATGATATAATATTTCAACAACGTCAAGTGACTGTTAGAATAAAAAACAACTGACATCGTTAGTGCCACTAGCTATCCGTTATGCGGAACTGGATTTAACCTGTAAAAGTAAAATCATTCTAACTTGACGCTTATACTGTTGATTCTTTTATTTATTTTTCATTGAAACCGATCGCGAAAACTTTCGTTTAATTATAAATGTTATACGTTTTTTGGGCTAAATGAGAATAAAAAATGTTTAATGTAAATTATAATTGCTATTACAGTGTTGTTATTGCAATTATGTTTTACAATAGTTTTTTTTAACGTTTTAGGTTTTTTATTATTTAAGGTAATAATATGAGAATACGTTTTTGGTTATTATTTCATTTGAGAACTGTTTTTTTTTACTAAAATCTTTATTTTTTTACAATTTACTGCTATTATGTTAAATGAAAACCAAAATCTTTTATAGCATATAGTTACATCATTTTCTGTTCAGTTTTCTAAATAATTATAGAAGTATAATAATATGAACAGAGATTGAAGCATGGAGAAGTTTCCATTTCCTTTATTTATTAATTATTATTATAGGTACGTTTTAACGGTTAGTAAGAAATACAAATCTTTGAATTTCTCGGCTTTTCTGTACTATGCATGTATTATACATTATACATAATATGCATGTATTATACATATAAACCTTTCTCTTGAATCACTCTATCTATTGCTGGAAACTGCATTAAAATCCGTTGAGTAGTTTAAAAGATCTAAGCGAACAGACAGCGGAAGCGACTTCATTTTATATTATGTAAAGATAAAAAAATATTAAAATATAACAAAAACATAAAAGAGTTCTTAAAATATCTCAAAAAATAAAAAAGTTATGAAATTTACAATTTGCGCTTGTAAGATTAATTTCGTGACATCACACGACCTGAATAACCGGAATTTAAATTAATTTCTCAGTAATTTATTGATAGATTAAAAAAAAAGCATTGATTTATTAGCTTTGATGTATATTATAATTCCATTGCGTTAAATATGATATTAACAACTCCAAATATTCTTTATTGCACTAAACAAGTAATAAAAAAATCCATAGAAAATGACGTGGACAAAGGTGGACTTATCTCTATAAGAGATCTCTTCCAGTCAACCCATGTATGTGGGAAATAGTTTTAAGTAGCGGGACAGAGAGAGAAAGTACAAAGAAACGATAAGAAAATATATAATAATAAGCATATTATATAAAACAAAATAAAAAAAGTATATAAAACAAACATCTGCATAAAACTTCTCCATTTGATGTCATTTAAATTATTGTTATAGTTCCAACCGAGCGAGCATTCCAGCGGGTACGACTTCGGCGGTGGCTCCTCAGACCATGGGGATTTCGGCCAAAGCTATGGGGGTCATGACCTACAATCCCACTCTTACCCCGTCCACCAACACATTGAAGAGGAAAACCCAGAACCCATCAAGCATTATAAGGAAGTAGTTGTCCCTATTCCTAAAAACGTAGAATTCAAAGTCCATCAACCTGTGCTAATTCCGGTCCCGCATCCCGTTCCCATCCATGTTCCAGTCCCAAAAGCGGTGGTTATCCCAATCATTAAAGAAGTTTCTATCCCAGTTGAAAAATCAGTCCCTTATCCAGTAGAGAGGACCGTTCATGTCCCCAAAATTAAGGAAGTACCCTTCGAAGTTATCAAACACATTATAGTACCTGTGGAAAAACCCGTACCTTTTAAAGTACCAGTTTACGAGACCATTATTCATACTAAAAAGGGATCACATAAAATATAATTTTGTTATTGTTGTTATAGCAAAATTTTGGTCTTAAAGATTATTTGCTTCAATAATACCTTTAATTATATTTAAGAAAAATAATTTCGCTTATTATTCTTATTATTACTTACATCTCCCCGCCGTCGGATGTTATTAATCTATTTTGTTGTTTTCTTAAAGATATTTTCTATTTGTTACTGTTATTGTGTGTTGCATAATGTGTTGTTGTTGTGTGATTGTATTGTAAATATTGTTGATTAATTGTAAGTTAATGAAATATTAAATCTATAATTGTATTTCATATACTTTTATATTGAAATAATTTGAACAATTTGACTGATGTTCAAAATGCATAAAGACTTTCTTAGTTTTTTAATATTATGTTACGCGCCGCTAGTTTATTCGAAGACATCAAGTACGTCTTCATATAACCTCTGTAGTGTTCGTCTGCCCAGGTGCCAGGCAGGCAGGAAAAGTATGACGACGAAGACATTATTGATTGACGTTTGGGGTCGCGACGTATGATTTTCTGTTGTGTATAAAATTTTATTAATTATCTACTGTCAATATAACGATTATAACAGGAAAAGTGTTTCATTGTTTTACAATTATTTATTATAAGACGAAAATTTGTATATTAGTGATGTTTTTTTTAATCCTTTACGCTGAAACGGCTTAATGATTTTGGATGAAATTTCTTATTAGATAGGTAATACATAGGCTACTGTTAGGCAATTGGACAAGGATGCATATTGGATATTAAGGAAAGCGTCAGTAAGTAGCTAGCTTACTACTTATAGTAACGTAATGGAAAAGGTTATCATCTAGCAAGAAATATAGCCTACAAGGTTTCTTTAGAGATGGAGAAAAGTGTTGAAGTCAGGAATCAAATGCACTTACTTATACATATTTTGAAATAAAGGTACCTTAACTTTAACATTTCCGTAAGGATGTTTTAAAATGAGGTTTTATTACTGTACATCTTTATAAAATGTTCTGGAATTGTTATAAAGACCTAATAAAAGCTTAACGTAAGCGAATTTGAAAGTATAGTACCCGTTCTGAATATCATTTCCAGTATTTTAAAATTGCTAATATTGTGTATGTATGGATATGTTTTAACCGATTTTCAGAAAGGAGTAGGTTGTATGTTTGTAAGTAAAAATATGTACCGTATTTTATAATGCAAGTACACCGATTTCTCGAAGAGGGCATGACCGATTTTGTTACTTTAAATTGTATTTCATGAAGTGAAAATGAGGAAAAATCACGTAATTTAAAGTATGTATTTTTATTACTTAATTATACAATTTAGCTACTAACTTTTGACCACAGCTCAAGTTTCATGTTATGACAATAAAAATAGCCTGTCACTCTTGGCGAATATTGTTAAAATTGATTCGGCTCATGGCGATAAGGCGGGTGCAAACAGACAAACACATAAAAAAGATCGTAATAGCTGTTTTAAGTTTATTGTACAAATAACTATATCAGATCGATGTTATCACGTACAGACACTTTTATTTTGAGTTATTTATGAATAATTAAAACCTTCAAAATAGGAAAAAAATATTTACTATATTATACATATTAAGCAGGAATTTAAAACATAAATATAATAAGATATAATAAGATAGACAAATCAACTCGTTAAAGCAAATATTTCACTTTCGAACTCAGAGTACCTATAGTAAAAATATATTAAGCAATCTTCTTATTTTCTTCACGTATAAACCCATTTCCAGTTTTAAAGTTATTTTCCTTTCCTTTTATACTGCTGCACCTATGAAAATATAATTTGGTTATAAGTATTTTTTATATAATTTACAAATAAATAAATATTAAAGTTACTATAATATTTTTAGATTTAAATAAAACAGGCGTTTTTAAAAGTAATCAGTTCGACAGTGAATTTATGATTTTTTTGAATAATTTCAATGACGTTTTAAATATATTTTAATACATATTGGTGGCAAAAGAACTATACATACTAATCTATATATAAAAGCAAGAAGCCACTGACGTGGCTAATTCGTTCATGCCACTGACTTACTAACTGACTAAACAAAAAAACTTGAAAATACTTGTCCTATGAAGCCGAAATTTGGTATATTTTATTTTATCTTATAATATTAAATGCGCAATTCTTGTATATATATAATTGTTTTTAGGTATCTCAGAAACGCTCCAACGATTTGGATCAAAGTTTGTACTTATTTAGATATTTTTGCTTTTTAAGTAATCTATATAAGAGTTTAACCTGAGAAAACGCAATTTTTATATCTTTTCCACAATTTTTTATAATAGATTTTATAATAGAATAAGATAGCAGAAGATACAGATACATTACCTTTTATTCGTAAGCATATTAATTATGATGGTCATCGGTGCTTCGAAGAATAAATGTAGTACAACGCTAAGACAATAAGATGTTACGATCACTCCGAACGTATAGACAATCTGAAATTAAAACTTTTTATATACATCTTGTTAGTCTTTTACATTGCATGTCGTGGGTTCGAGTCTTACTTAAGACATATGTTTGAGGGTTCTAAATGATTTTAGCCATGGCGGGTAATTTCCTTGAGATTTTAAGGTGCGAGGGTGTATCCCAACTTCCCATCTCCGTACTGCTAAGTATTTTATGAAGAACCTACTATTTTCTCCTGAACTGAGACTCGAACCCAGAATGATGACCTCTCGATGTACAGCTGTACATGATAGCCACTATTAAAGAGGCTACATATATTTTGGTATATTAGGTACACGTGTAATATTTGTCATGGTCTAACTATTTTATATTTGGAACATTTTACCTCAGTGCCATGTGTGTTTCTCAAAGAACTGACACAGCCAGACATAGAAATAAAAAGGGGTAAATTTATATATCTATAATATATGTCTTGTTCCTTCATGCTAAAATGACTGAACTGATTTTGATGAATATAGACACATTTTGACGAAGAAAGACGAAGTAACACATAGGGTAGGCATATGGCTGTTAAGCCTTCGGACGCACTCAAGTCAAGCCAGGGTAACTCGCTAGTTAATGAAATAAAATTACTTACCACGGTATACAAATCGTATGTATAAGAAGTTCTAATAACAGCAACTACGAATGAGAAGACTATTGTATGTAACAGGTAGACCCCGTAAGATAATTTGCTGAGGGGTATGAAGGGTTTCCATACTAGCAAAGTGTGGACGATGGCTGAAAGATAGAATTAAACAATCTATTGTCAAAATTCGATTAATAATACATATAAAAAAATGTTGTGCAAAAGTGTTCTTCAATAAGGGATTTCCCATCGTGTGTGATCTTTTTTGAGTGACTTCCAAATATACAATTACTATCAAGCAGAATTAGAAAACTTATTTAGATTTTTAAAACCTTAAGATATGTTGCAACAAATAAAATTCTAAACCAAGTTTATACAGCTCTTGCTGAATCAATTTTGTCATACTGCATCCCAGTATGGGAAGAAGCATCAAAAATTAAATTCTTTGAATTAGAACGTAGTCAACGGGCCTTACTAAAAGTTATGTTCTGTAAACCATATCGTTTCCCTACAAAACAGCTATACTCCATTAACAACTTATTAAGTGTGAGAAAGATATACATATTACAACTAATACTACAGAGGCATAAATCAGTAACTAAACTAAAAAAAGACGAGTTAACATTACAGTAGAAACAGGTATTGTAAAAACTAAATTTGCTAGTCATCAGTATGCTAAGAAATCAGCTTCTATATACAAAAAGGTGAATGGTCTGATAAAAATATATTTGCTAAATAATTACGAATTAAAAAAGTCCCTAACTGCCTAGCTTGCAAAATTAAATTATGAAGAAGTAGAAGCTTTATTCGATGCAATTACCTAAACATCCACTCCAACATTTTATTTACACACACACACACATACAATTTTTGCTATTATTTCTATGTTATAAATAGTTTTTGTTAATATAAGAAAGACTATTGAGTTGTCAAATTTTTTAAAAAATTTCTACGGAAGAGCGGGACATCCTGGCACAGGTATATATTATGTATATATTTATAAAAGGATGTACCAACAACGGACTTAATGTATTTAAAAACTCTTTTTATTAATAAATCATTTTCATTTTCATAGAGGGTGTATCTAATTAGGGTGGTGGTTTTTATTTTTTTATGGTTTTAGTTTTGATAAATAGGCTATTTTAGTTTTAATAAATGTGTTGTTTATTACAAAAAATACAAAAAAAGCCAAAATAAATATGAACATTTTGTTTAAACTGTCTTCGTATTCGTCAATCTCTAAGAATGTATCTTAACAGACTGTGTTAGACTGTTTCATATACAATAAAAATGCCAAAGTAAGAATGACTTAAATGGCGAATTACTTAACAGATTTTAATGGGGATTTCACTGGGGAATAGAGGAATGAGGCATGAAGAAGTGTCAAGGATATTCCTAATAATAGTATAATAATAATTAAAAATGCTTGTAGTAAAATATAACAAAACTTACGCACTGTTCCATATTCGCAGAACATTATAATGGCTACCATAGCAAGTGCCCATATAGTTCTGTTTAATGAGGCAAAAATCGCTGATTCCCATACATTATAGGGTTTATTTTTATCTAAGAAAGAGCCTCCCATAGTCATAACTTTGATAGCTATTGAAAATGCTATTACAAATCCAAGTGTCGACCAGAACTAAAGATATAATGGATAAAACTTTTAGTAAATTACACATAAAAAATCAAAAGCCATTAGTATGCTAAATGTATGTTTTTTATTTAAATTTGTCAATAATTCGAATCCCATAAGCAATTTAGTTTTAATTATTCGGTTAAAATGTCTTACAAAATATGCAATCGAATTATATTTTTCTAAACTAAAGCGAGATATCTTAGACACAGAACTCTCCAGAAGTTTAATTAGCCATACCATATTCCGCTGCTAGACTAGAAGCTGCTACTGATATAAAAACATAAAAAAAAAAACGATTTTCATGAATTGTTAAATTTATATTTGAATATCAAACATAACAAACTCTGAATTCAAAATACTCGAAAATTTGCGAATAATATAATAATTCGCAAATAATTCGGAAAAAAATCGAATTATTCGCAATTTTTCGCATTATACAACTTTTTTAGAATTATCGGGAACTTTGATTCGGGGGATTTGAAACTCGAATCGAATGTTAATATTCGATTAGATCACGGAAAGTACTAAGTGGTGGCCGAAGCGCCGAATATCCGGTATTCTGTATTCGGCCAATTCACTGCTCGTGGCATCTCTAATCTATTCTAAATGAAAACCCCCCGTTTAGTTATTTTGTACAATTTAGTGCCTGGAAGTCGGTTTTTTTTAGTTTTTATTTTTCCATTTTTAGTGTAGATGTAATAAGCAGGTAATTTGTAAGAAGAAAGTTTTTTAATAACATATTCGATTAAACAATTTATTTAAAAAATAATTTATTGTTTTCGATAAAATTTATATTGGGCCACCTGGGAAGTATAACCCTTTGAAAAAAAAAATCCAAATCAGTTCAGGCGTCTTCGAGTAATAGTTGAACCTACATAAAAAAGAGATTCCGACGAATTGATAACCTCCTCCTTTTTGGAAGTCGGTTAAAAATTATTTGAAAGGAAACTTCAATAATCTTTTTGATGTACTTGAGTATAATTGTGACCTTCAACATCTATCAGTGACTATCTCAAGCTATTTCTAAATAGCTGCGATATTGATCTTACATGGTTATTTGCACTTAAAAAAATGACAGTTCACCTTCAGAGACTTTTTAGTGGAATCCGTACTCTACTATCCGTACTCGTACGTCTCAAACCAGGACTTGAACCCAAGATCTCTAGATGTGCCATCTCAAGTCAGTCATAAGACTAACGAGGCAGTGTAAAAGAGAGTGTTTTGTAGGCTATGGGCGTAGCAAGTGATACATGGAGCAAAGCTAGTAAAAACTTCTTACCTTTGAAATTATTTTCCTGTGATTGATGGGTTTATAAATAGTTAAGATATATCCAGCAATAAGACCAACAAAATACGGTCCGGCTCGAAGATGACTCCATAGGTACGTGGGATTTTTGAACATAATATTTCGGTAGTCTCTTATATCACTAAAAATTATAATGTTTTTGCAATACCTAGTTTTGCCCGCGGCTTTGCTCGCGTAGTGAGGGCGGGGGTCAAGCCTATGTTCGTCCTCAGGATGCAATTTATCTTTTTGCCAAATTTTATCGAAATCCGTTTTGCAGTTTAAGAGTGAAACGGTATAATAGTATAGTAGTATAACGAGATTGTAATATTATAACGAGGGTATAATATTAAAATACGAGTAATTATATTTTACGATGCAATATCTGAATATCTGTGTTTTTGTGCGCATGACGCGAGTAACCATGGGTTTTTTTTCCTTTTTATATGCAATACATGATTCTCATTGTTAAAAATTTAAATGAATTTACATTACATAACTAGTGTTAGCGCGATGAAATTGAATTTATTTAAACAAATCTAATTTAATTTCAACAAACGTATCAATTGTTTCATAATATATTTAGTGTCATGAAATCTTCAAAAAGACAGAGGAGGTGGAGAGAGAGGCTCGTGCTCCATATATGATAGATATACAGCACCAATGTAAAGGTAGCATCGCGTTGTGTTTACACGGTGAAATTAGATTTTAAACATAAATTTTATATAGGAATCAAAAGATCGTGCTTAGTGATAGTGTTTACAATTAAAAAGAGACTCATATGCAAGCAAAGCCAGAGTTGAAAGCTAGTGAACACTCAAAATTAAACTGAATTTAAGATACAAACTGGAAAATTACTAACAAAAATATGTTACTTACGTTACATCAAAGTTGGGTGCGGCTGGTAGTTTTCTTTCATACGTGATCACGCCAGGCATAATCAAAGCTAAGAAAGATAATGTACTGAAAACCAGCATTCCTATACGTTTGTTTTTAGTGAAAATCCAATATATCATTATTCCGACAGCAGACAAATGGAAATCGCAGGGCACTGTCCATATTATTGGGTTACACTGGAAAAGTGTTTTCAATATAGGTATGAAAGTTTTTGAATATATAAACCCATTTGCAAAAAAAACGGACACCCAAAACTTTTCTGTACAATCATGGAAAACTTAAACAAAAGAGGTTTTATATGCATTCAATTAATTAGAAACAATTGTCTACGTATTAAAAAGTACTGGCAAGTAAAATAAATAGTTCCAATTTAGAAATTTTCAAAGTTATTTAAAAATATTCTATTCGATTCAAGCATTTGCTCGCAGTTTGTGTTTAGATAATATTGTGCTATAAATAAATAAAAAAGGTTTTTTTTTGTAATTTTAATGAATTGATGTTGGTATAAAATTGTTTAAATTGGTTATTTGTGATAAATTTTATACCATAATATGGCAGACAAGACAATTATCACTGGTAATGTAGTGACTCTTCTTCAAGAAGGCTGTACTCACTGTTATGTGTCGGAACGGTTTGGTGTCAGTCCTTCCACTTTTCAGAGGACCTGGACTAGATTTCACGAAACCGGTTCTTTGAAAAAAAGACCGGGATAAGGAAGAAAACGATGTACTGAGTGCAGGGACGGTCGATATATTGTGAGCTTTACGAAATCGGAAGTCTACCTACAATAGCATCAAAAACAATCTTGAAGATGTTAGAAATGTGTGTGTTAGCGTATGGACTGTCAGGAGGAGACTTCTAGAAGTCAATATAAGCCAGAATCTCTTTATTTGGTGAGGACCGACGTCGTAAAGTGCTAAGAAAGAAAGTAACTAGGTGAACGTCATGCAGAGGAAGTTTTTGAAAAAATTACGCCATATGGTGGGGGCTCTGTCATGTTTTGGGCTGGCATTCCTTCTGAAGATCGTACAGAGTCAGTTTTCGTAGAAAATGGCTCTCTAAATGCACAACGGAACACACATGTCATACATCACGGAACACTCAATTCCTCATGCACAACCAGCGTTAGCTGCAGCGTGAGCACACCGAGCGGGCGACGTAGACGCTTACTTAAGTGAAGTCGGGATACGCCGTTTAGATTAGCCAGCACGAAGTCCCGACCTCAATCCCATTGAGTATCTATGGGACTTTCTAAAACGACGTGTTAGAGCTGTACGTGTACAGCCAACCCCACAGAACATCCGATAGATTGCTATTACGGCCGAATGGGAGCGTATTCATAAAAAAACTCGTCCAAAGCATGCCACGAAGAATTGCAACAGTTATTTCAGACAGAGGAAGCCACAATGAATATTAATTTTTTATTTTCTTGTTCGTAACTTTTAGTAAATATAGAAGAAAGTCAATTGAAGTTACCTTATTTTTTTTTCAAAATGAATAATTTCCTAAAAATCAAAATAAAGCAAATTAAGATCGACTTAATTACCAAACAAAAGTGTTTTTACATCAGTAAATAATATTTATTTTATTTTGTTGCATCAAATCTCTTTTACAACTGTTAATACTAAGAGTACTCGAATAAATCAAAGGTGTCCGGTTTTTTTGCAAAGGAGTGTATAACAAAATTCTAACTAAGCCGAATCTGTAAGTAAAATATTTTTTGGAAAACTTTATTGAAATAGATATTATTATTGCTAAGAGGTTGAATCTATAGTTTTTAGAATATTTGTCTGTCTGCTTGTCTTTCTCTCTGTCTGTGACCGCACTACGGATAGACGACTGGAGGGATTTTGATGAAATTTGGTATGATGATAGCTGGTTATCCGGGTCACATATAGGATAATTTTTACTGCGAGAAAATATCTCGTCTCTGAGAAATCTATACTAAACGTTAAAACGTAAGTAGGGACGAACCCGAGCGGAGCGAGAATTAATAAATTGACGTATATCACTTGCTTTACGATCAAGGAAAACATATGAAGTCCGCTAACCCGCACTTGGTTAGCGTGGTGGACTATAGCCTGATTTACATCGCATTAAAGAAAACTCTGTGCTGAATATAAACTGTAGTAACATTTCTGCTTTTGAAATAGCTATTCGATGTATGAGATGGTAAGCTTAGGTATTATGTAGTTCCCCCCCAACGTGCGTTCACCTTGTCGTGGTGGGGGGGCTCAGTAGTGCCCGGCAATCCAACCGGGCGCGAAGCTAAGAAACGCACAGGGAGGTTGCCCACTTCGGTGGGCCGTGGGAGGTGGCCCTCTTCGGGGGGCGGTGTACCATGCGGGTTGCTCCTGGTACTTCTCTGATAGCAGAGTGGACTGTGGAGCAACCCCATGGTTGTGGTGGTCTGCTTCGGCAGACCTGCCGTCGGGGCGTCGTAGTTGAATGCGTAAGCGATCCTGCGACGCCCCATTAAGACGGGGGAAGGTTTTGTTGGGTTTTAGTGGGTAGTACTGGCTGTATTACGTCGGTGAGTCCCACACGTCGTGCGTAAATGCATTTCCCAACGTTAAAAAAAAAAGGTATTATGTAGTTATTTGCATTATATCTATATTATAATTATGTGTGTATGTATATATTCAGCCCTTATTAACGTTTCACTGTTGGACACGGGCCTCCCTTCTACACGATGGGGGTCAGGCTATGGATCTATGGCCTCATTCCCCTCGTATATTCTAAGTAACACAAAAAAATGTGTCTGTTTGTAATCGTTGATCTGATGAACCGATTTTTATTGAACTTTCTCTGGAACCTTGTCCACATCTAGTTTAGTAGAAGATTATTATAAGGGTCAGAGTATATTTTTCCAACTGATTCTCAAATAAGTAAATCAATCTAATTTTGAATACAAAAGAGGCTTGTACGTACTATATTAGCTGTATCTATATAATTTCCGAGCATTAACAAATTCAGCCACCAATTTTTATTGCACGTGGTAACTTCTATTGAAGACAACTTCGGCCACATAGGCCCAGAGCCGGCATAAATGAGTACTTTGGTGGTGAAAAAAAGGAATAATGACGTTATCCAAAGAAGTCTGTAACAAAATCTTTAGTTTTAATACTTACTCTAAAATATGTTATACGAGCTTAATTAAAAGGCGCAAGTCAATAAAATCAGTCTTAGGACCGAACGTTACTAAGAATTTCTTGAACTTGATAGAAAAACTCATCTATGACTATACTTGACCTGACCCGGATTGTTTCGGACGACCAGAACCAGGGTATGTCTAGTACCCGGAGGTCGACCTGGGACAATCTCCCAGACGTTCTTGGCGTACACGGCAGTATGTCCGTTCGCTGGTAATGTACGCCACCACGCACCCCTGAATGCGTAGCTTGGGTCCCGATCCACTAGGGTTTCTTCGTTGACAGGAGACTATACTTAGAGGCGATGAAATAAAACACAATTTTTCCTTTTTTCTCTCTTGGTTTCGGTTCTTCCTTTTCCTTTTAGTTGTTGCCTCTTCGGTGGCTGTCTTGCGACTGACTCGAATCGAGAAATGGCTCGCCTTTTATTTGGCCCGTTAATACCTTACAGAGAGCCGCGTACTTTGAGCTCGTTTTTCGAATAAAATTTCCCTAAACCGAAACCTTGAGAGTCCTTTTATTTTATGTTTTCAGTAAAACACCTTACACATATTTATTTATTTACATGCCTTACATACTATTATACAATATTAAAACATAATATTCAATATATAATAATTAATTAAAAAAGTCTTAAAACAAAAATATCTAAATTTCTAGGTTGCTACATTTTTACTATACATTTTCCCTTATAACTTTTGAACGGATAGTCCTATCGACCTAATTCTTGTTTTATTATAAGTTTTATAATAAAATCTATTATTTAAAACATAAACTATTATGCTATTGCAAGAAACAAAAAATCTCATTTTCAAGTTACGTAATTATATGCTAACATTTTACTTACGTACCTATTCCTTTCAAATTAATGTTAAATAGTCTTATATGATTCAAATAAGCAAAAAATACTCTAAACTAACCTTATTACACTAATTAGAACTTATTTTAACATAATAAATCTAATAAGAATGAGATTTCATATTTACAACAATTATTCATAATACGCTAAAATGACATTGTCCCTATATTAATACACACGTTACTCGAAGATAAGTTTTCCGTCGCCGACATTCTCCCCCTCGTGCTTTGCACCAACTCCTGGACTCGGCGACGCTCCCGGCACCAACAGCACCACTCTCGAACTGGGCCTCCGTAGAACACCTCCTCTGGTCTCGACGTCGACGACTCTGGTCCGCCCGTCTGGTCCAGGATACACATGCAGGATTCTTCCGCGTGGCCAGATGCATCTTGGTAGGCTGTGATCGACGATCAGTACGATGTCTCCGACTTGCAAATCTGTGGCGCTGACTCTTCCTTTGGTCTTCCTTGGTAGTAGAGTGGGCAAATACTCTCTCAGCCAACGTTGCCAGAAGTAATCGGCAAGTCGCTGCGTAGCCTTCCAGGTGTGTCTGCCCACAAGCTCGTTGTCCTCGAAGCTGCCGATTCTTGCTGCGCCACATGATCGCCCGATGAGAAAGTGGTTCGGTGTAAGTGCTTCTTCTTCAGGGTTCTCGGAGAGGTGGGTGAGGGGCCGAGAGTTGACTATGTGCTCGGCCTCTAACAGGAGGGTATGAAGTACCTCCTCTCGTGGTTGCCTTTCGTTGAGCGTGGCGTCCAGTGCGGTTTTAATGGATCGCACCAGACGCTCCCATGCACCTCCCATGTTTGGTGCACCAGGAGGTATGAACTTCCACTGCACACCGATCTTCTCCGCTTCCGAGATAAGGTCTTCTTGCTTCATGGTGTCTAGTGCTTCTTTGAGTTCTTTGTTGGCGCCAACGAAGTTAGTGCCATTGTCGGTGTAGATTATCTTTGGCATTCCCCTTCTCGCGGCGAATCGTCGTAGTGCCATGATCATGCTGTCAGTGGAGAGTGAAGGAGTGAGCTCAATGTGTACAGCTCGTGTTGTTAAGCATGTGAATAGAGCACCCCATCTCTTCTCATGGCGTCTTGCTACGGTGATCGTCATAGGGCCGAAGTAATCTATTCCCGTGCACGTAAATGGAGGGTTTCCGTGCATCAGC